CTTACCCTTCATCTCGGCAGCAAAATATATTGGGTTCTCCATCCACTGAAACCTGTGAAATAATGCTTACTTGATATGTCTAAACACTTAATGCATTACAGTACTACAATTCATCAGTAGGTGGGATAAGTCGTCTTCTTTAGGCCATTTATGCTTAATTATGGAGCAAATAAGTTTCATGGGTTTTCCTACCTAGTCAGCATGCTATAGTGACACACATGTTCATAAACCTTTACACACTAATTATTTTATAAGTCATTTTAATTTCATAAATACATTTCAGTAACAAAGATTGTAGTGAGAATACAAGCAAACTCTCAAAAATATTCACACATACTATAGTGTGTTCAAGGAGAAATAAAATATAATGAAACTAACTTTTACAGTCTCTGTCAAATGGCTATGGCAGTAATCTATGCAACTACAGATTAGAACACCAATCCTGTTTTTGTTTTATAGCTCACAGATACATAAACAAAAACTTGAAGAGGTCTTTATATTACACATATTCCTTGTCTGCTCTTGTCTGACCTCTGAAGGTCAATGACAATAAACATTGAAGTTAGAACTGCTTGTTGGAGTCAGAGCAAAGTCACCAGCAGAAATTTTATGAATACCTATAACCCAAACAAACTCCAATTAGGAAATTGGATGACACAGAGATAATCAGGAAGTTAACACCTGATGATTGTAATTTCCTTCTGCTGGGATGGGCAGATGTTTGAAAATACATGCAGGTAGGCCAGGAACTGAGCAAGACATGTGATGCAATCCCTGCTGGGAACATTGTCAATTCCAATGTTAAAAGATTTAGTTTTTAATGTAAATCTAAATTCATCTAGACTAGAGTATACAGTGTGGATGTATTCTTATAATTTAGATGCAGATTTAACATCTCATATAACCAGGGATAAATCTTGGAGATGTACGTGCACACAGATTTCTTGCATAACTTTTGGAAATAACGTAAAGGCAACACTTTGGATATGTGTCTTATTGGATATATTAATATTATGCTACAGGGTATATTATTTCACACCTTGATTTGAAATGTGTGTTGCTTTGATGTTTACATAATATTGTGGATTCAGTGGAGAAGAAAAATTATTTAAAAAAAAAAAGCTAGCAAACATTTCAAAAAGGGGAAAGGAAGGGGAGGGGAAAGGGAAAGGAAGGGAATCTATCATGCTGTCTCTCTGCATAGGATCTGCTTGGTTTTAAAATACTGGCATTCATTCTTTGTGAAAGTAAACCAATGGACAGTTCCCTGAAAGAGCTTGTAATGGAATGAATTAAGCATTTTAAAACAATATCTGACTGTCTTCTCTGAGATGAAATAAAACAGTGATTGGTCATAAGGTATGGCAACACATATATTGTAGTAAGAAGAGACCGAAGTCTGTAGACAGCTACTGCAATTCAAAGAGCTCTTTTGCTTGTAACTGCGATACAAGGAGGGAAAGACTTCTATTCTCAGTGAGAATAATAAACCCCACTACATCCTAAATAAATTCTAGGCTTGCACATCTTCTGACATTAGTCTTTTAATGACTGAAATGCATGTCTTAAATAATTACAACATAGTAGTTTAGAAAAGTAACAGTAACGCTCTTAATAAAAATAAAAACGGGATGAAAAAACATTTTTCTTCTAAAACCAAATATCAAAACATGTAACAAACATAACAGATTGATGATACATACGTACAAATGCTTTGAACTCAGATCCATTACAAAAAAGGAATATATTAACAAAATTAGAAGTTTTAAAATTCAGCATACTACCAGAATCCCAGTAATGGCTTAATTTTCAAGCATAACTCTAAAGAGCTAAAACTATAAAAATATGTGTTAGAATTAAGTATGCCTGTGTTTAGTAGAACAGCCTAAAAGTTCAATTCCCCATAAGTATTCTTCCTGATAGCAGCATTTTCAGAGCTTATCATGTTTGAAAATGATATTTCGACTGAAAATCCAGCTCTCTTCACACTTGAGATAGAAGCTTGTTAGGAAGTACATTTAAGAGTTTAGATTTTAGGACTGAATGCCTTACAATGAAGATCTTGAACTCACATTTTCTCATAAGCTATATTCTAAAGCATGTGTGCAACTCTTCTACATTTTGGCATACAGTATTTTACTTGCATTTTATGGTTATTTGTAATGAGATCAAACAATGTCTTTGTTTAACTTTGAGCTGGCTTTCTGCCCGTATTATTGTGTGTTATATAAACCAAAGTGTGTTCATTATGCCAAGTGACTCCAATTCATTTAAAGATTAATGATAATATTGCCAGGGTATCTGTAAAATTATTAATAGATGCTTCATAATATTTTATTATAATATTGTAGAGAAGATAAGTGCTTTGTAACACCCTGGAGTAGCACTAATTCTCAAACTGTCTCTGAAAACATGTTTGAACATATTTTCTAATTGCTAGAGGGAATGAGCAATTCCAATTAACATAATCACTCTTAAAATATTTTAATATATTATCCACATTTGAGATCTAACCACTTCAATTCCAAGGCAGATAGAGATTCTGCATACTCTGAAAAAAATCACCCATCAAGGATTGGCTCTTGATAATTCTGTGATTTAAGTACACACTGCTCAGAATACTATTTATCTTAAAATGTGATGTTTTATGTGGCACACTTAATTAGCATGCTGCTTGTCATAGTTTCTCTAAAATTATTAAATGAATTGAAACACAGGTTGCTGATAACATTAAAAGAACAGCTTTTTTATCAATCATCTCAGAAGAGGAAAAATTTGAATGATCCCTAATAATATGATTCATCCCTAATAAATGATAGATAATTTAAAAATACAGTCTTAAATCAAGGGAATATACTTCTCGATCAGAGATTTTGATATTGCAATTAAGCTGACAATTTTGTTATCCATTAAATGAGGATTTGAAATGAAGTTACAGATAGGTTTCAGAGTTGTGAGATTTTAATTTTTTTTTCTTAAATTTGAGCTTTAAGATCAATTTGGTGCAAAGGGATTGTTGCCAATTACATGTTCTTTGACTGAGGCACCATCTCCTGCAGGGATCTACAAAATGCAAGTTTACATTTTAGTTACTACATATAAAATAGCCTAGTTTAGAAAAAAGAAAGCATTGTAATTGCTATGATAAACTTCCTTGGCCTGCTATCCTTCCAGGTGAGTTGGGCTATGATGACCAACATTTTTGCAGATGAGCACTGCAGTCCAACACATCTGGAGTACAATGGGCTGAGGAGGAATGAAACTGGAAGCCAAAAACATTTGCTGATCTATCATATATCTGATCTATATACTACTTTTATTCTAGCTTTAAAATTATGATAGGGACGCTGAAACTGCATTAATATATACAAATGGATTAGGTATTCCTTGTCAGCTCCAGATTTTGTCAACTTTTGAAAAGATGCCTTCAAGAGGTTTTTCCTCCCCACCTAGCTTCACCATTTTTAAAAATTATTGTTGCTCCTATCCATATACTTGTCTTATCTCTTTGGTTTCAGTCTATACTGGGAAGTGTGCGTTTGTGTGGATTCTGCACTTTCATCACTCAGAGATAGCAAGAAAATGGCAACAAGCTGGGGAGGTTTGGCAATTGCCTATTTTGGCTGTCGTCTAGGATGCCAAATTTTAGGGCACACCAAAATTTAAAAAAATTATATGCACAATAATAATATAGAGTATTGTAATAGAGTATTGTAATAGAGTATATTTTCTCATTGTATTACAATCATTTCTTTCTATACATTTCAACAACACTTATGTACAGTCGGTTGAGTGGTAGTGAACATCACACCAACCAGGTATTGCAAGTCTCCAAAAAGAAATAATTATTATAGCTACAGACCTTAGGAAACTAATAATATTACTAAAGCGAAAGAAAAGTCTGATAGGAAGGCACTGAGCAAGTGAATCATGTGACTATCAGCTTATCAAAGTTATACCCAGACAAGCAGTAACAGTGCACTCTGTGCATCAGCATGGCTACTCAAGAGTTAAATATAATCATAGGAGGTGCCACAATATGACTTTGCTTAGGGTGCCAAAATGGCTAGAATTGGCCCTCTTGAAAGATGCCCAACAATGCCAACTTCTGATACTATATTCTTATAGTGTATAATTCAAACTGTATGGTTTATTTCTGAACTGTTCATGTATATCTTTTGAGTATAAAGGTTCTCCCTTCCAGATGCAGTCATATGAGAATATCCCAGTTCTGAGTTGCAACATGGAAATGGGTGGAACAAAACTAAGTGCACAGGTACAGGCTTGGATTATTCCTTGAAGAGGACCTCCTTTTTCCCTCCTATTTTTAATTTTTATACAATTTCCAGCCAGAGAGAAATACAGGAGAAAGACTGCTAAACAGAAGTAACAGATTATGCAATTATCCTCTATAGCATGCTTTATATATATATAATTCGTCATCTTCAGGCTGGTGTTTTCGGCTTCGTGCTTCTAGGAGCAATGTGTGATCATAGCTGTTTCTTCCCTTTAACTGCCAGTGGGGGTATGAACTCATTGGATGGGAGTTTGGCTGTGTTCTGATTGGCTGGAGGTATGTTCTGATTGGTTAGGGGCTTGGCTGTGCTCTGATTGGATGGGGGAGTGTTCTGTTTGGGTGGGGGCTTTGTTGTGCTAGGGTTAATCTGAGTTGCAGGGGGATTTGAGATGGTGAGCTGCGTTGCTGTTGTTTGGCTTCGTGTTCGTGATCGTGCTTCATCTTCATGGTGGGTGCCAAGCTCCCATCCAATCAGTTCATACTCCCACTGGCAGTTAAAAGGAAGAAATAGCTACGATCACACATTGCTCCTAGAAGCACGAAGCCAAAAACACCAGCCTGAAGATGACGAATGAGACTTTGTTGAAACGTCGCCAAGACACTTCCAATTTTACGCGGGAGAAAACCCGAATAACCAAAGACCTACATACAAACACCCGCGAAAACCTCAGAAAATATATATATATATATATATATATATATATATATATATATATATATATATATGTATATGTGTATACCAGAAGTAAAGTCAACCAAACCCCATTATTCTTGGTTTCCCACCATTGTCATTTTTTCTTCTTTATAAGTTTTTCTGATAGGCCCCATGGCCTCTTTTTGGCCATTCCTTCTCTACCCACTTCTGTAGTATTTTCTCAATATCAACTCTTTGATATAATTTACAGAGATCAATCAATTGCTCCACAGTTCTGTCACTGTTCCGTAACAAAAATTCCAAGGTGGGACTCTGTTGTTTCTGTTCCAGGAAACACAACTCATCGTAAGTCATTCCCCATTTGCTTGCAAAGTTTCTCCAGTTTTTCACTGTTGGGTGGGATGGATCCAATTTGATCCGCATCATATACAGCAAGTCCTCATCATTTAGTAGGTCACTGATGATTGGCTGGTGAGATGTACACAAAGAGCAAGAGCAATCTTCTGTACATGATTTCTTCAAAGCTAGAATTACAGTTATATTAGGGAGTTATTCCGCTGTTTTCTGGTAGATAAAAGTTCTATGACATGGTACAGATGTAATGAGCCTTGTTCAATATATTATGATGATTTAGACTTAACTGTATTCTAATTCGTTTCCTCATTCTCCCTCCCTTACTTCCTCTTGTTGCATGTCCATAAAGAAATCTTTCTTGTTTCTTAAACTACAGTTTCCCATTTGAAATGATATTCTGGTTATAAAATTGGCTCACTATATCTGCATTGAATCATTGGTTGCTATGTGCTCCCCCAGCTAAAGAGGACACTGATGTACTACACAAAGAGCAACAGGTATGTGAAACTCCTATATAACAACATTAAGCTATCCTCTATATTTGGCTTTTGGAGGTTTGTGCCACTAAGCACAGTAGGTAAAAATAAGGCCGGTAACCTGTTTTACTAAGCATTACATTAAAACTTCAGTCAACCAAAGCAGTGATGAGCAGATGAGCTTATCTGTTGATGATCATGGTACAGGTAGTCCTCGACTTACAACAGTTTGTTTAATGACCACTTGAAGTTACAACAGCATTAAAAAAGTGAGTTATGGCTTTTTCACACTTACGACTGTTGCAGTATCCCCATGGTCACATGATCAAAATTCAGACGCTTGGCAACTGACTCATATTTATAACAGTTGTCGTGTCTTGGGGTCATGCAATCACCTTTTGAGACCTTCTGACAAGCAAAGTCAAAGGGGAAGCCAGATTCACTTAACAACTCTATTGCCAACTAAACCACTGCAATGATTCGCTTAACAACTGTGGCAAGAAAGGTTGTAAAATGGGGCAAAACCCATTTAACAAATGCCCCTTTTCAGAACAGAAATCTTGGGCTTAATTGCAGTTGTAAGTCAAGGACTACCTGTACTGTAACTTGAAATATAAGAAGAGTAAGCAGTCATGAGTATGGGTCTGCCTGAAACTAGGAAAGAAGGTATCTAGGAGAAGATATTACTAAGATGATATGAATGAATGGTGGAAATGAATTGAGAGCGTACTGTACAGGAAAAATTATGAGGCGATTTGGAGACCCAAGTATAAGTTATAACAGGAAGTATGAACAAGGAGGCTTGGTGGAACAAAGATGTGAAAAAAACTGTGAAGAAAAAAAAATCATGTAACAAAATGACTTATGCAACAAATGAGTGTGAAAGATGTTGTATAAATTGTATATAAAGAAAAAGGAAATTGCAAAGAATGTAGTTAAAAAATGCAAGGAACAGTTATGATGTCAAAGAAAATGCAAGGTGATTTTGATGACAATAAGCAGCAGAATGAATGGAACTAAGAATAAAAATGATGAAATGACTTGGAATGAAAGCGAAGCGAGGGAATGCTTTAGAGATTTGAACTGGTATGTTGTAGAATAGGATTAAAATGAATGCTATAAATTTAAATTGAATATAAATTGAAAAATAATGAGGAGCCCTAAATGCAATGAAAATGTTTAAAAACTGTAAGACTATGGGTATAGATGGTAGAACTGGAGATATGTTAAAGTACTGTGATTAGATTAAGGAGCAGTATGCAAATTGATAAATGTATGTGTGAAAAGTGCACCTGGGCCAAATTGGCCTGATGCCACTATAATTTTCTCATACAGCAGGATATGCAACTTTATATGGAATTGAGAACAGGGAAAAGACACAAAAACTGAATGCAGTGGGAACGAGATATTTAAGAAGTGTATAGGTTGAACAAGAATAGAATCATGAAAAAAGGGAAAGTGAATGAATGTGTACTTATAATGATTGATCAGCATGAAAGAAACCACAGAGATGATTTGATTATATAGAGAGAAAGAATAGGGGGTTACGTTGAAAAAACATCCTCAAAAGAAGACAAGTGAGACGTTTAAAGAAGGAAAGATTATGTATAGTGCTATATACAAAATGGTATATAATTGTGGTTGAAGACTGTCATTAAAGTAAAGATTGTAAACATGCAAAAATATGGGGAGGTATAGTGAATAGCGGTGATGTAAATGCATATAGTTAGATTTTTTTTCCTTCTCATTATCTCTTTCAATTCTTTTCTTTAGTTGCTACTTTACATTATTTTGCTGTATTTTGCATGTTGCTCAACCAAAAGGGAATAGCATAGTATATATGTAAATTAATTTAATGAGAACTAAATTCAACAAATTACATTTAGTTAACCTAATTACTTAAGTATTTTTTTTTTAAAAGTCATCTTCTGTTTCATTAAATTTTAACTCACAATTTCCCCTGAGATATTTTTAGTAAACTATAGTTGGCTTTTACATAGCATCATTCACCTGAGAATATCACAGCACACTCTGGAGTAGACAATAAACTGCATTCAAATACAATTCAAATTTAGACATTAAACAGTTTCATGATAACTTCAGGAACTGTTTCAGAGACCACACCTAAGGCTTTTGGGGACCATATTTGGCCTTATGCACATAAATGAAATACAATAATACCAAACTTTGTTAACGAGTTCCGCCTCATATTGTCTTCCTCTTATATGGACAAATGAATCCAATCTCAATGTTGTGCATATGGGCTTCACATGACAACTTCCTCACTATCATGCAATCATCAAGCATTTTCTTAAAAGCATTTCCCTATATCATACATGTCAAACTCGCAACGTCACATGATGTATTGGAGCTTTTTCCCCATTGCCGGCAATGGGGTGGATGTTATTTCCTCGTGACGCGTCCGGCCCAAGGGCCAGCAGTTTGTTACCCCTGCCCTATATCATCAGAGCATAGAGATGTTGAAATAAAAGGATCCAATGAAAGACTATTTCTTTCTACAGTAATAATTCCAATTATCCTATTTAGAACAAAAAAAAACCTGGAATCAGGCAGTAAATACATTTTGGAAATGTACAGAATGTTACCTCTAGGTGAATCACCCGCACTACTTTGAGTGTCATCGTCTTCTTCTGGCTACAAATAAATACAGCGTTGCGTTAATGTCATGATATGAATTTAATTTAACAAATTATACAGCTTGAATCTAGAAAAATCTCTCAAGATTGGAAAGGTTAAACCATTAAAAAAAACTAAATACTTTGAATAAGCTGTATTTCTATAGAGGAAGATTATCATAAAAGAGAGGCACTTAATTCCTGAGTTCAGGAAGATTTTATCATGGTAAAATAGATTTGAAAAATCAGCAGCAGATGCTTTTGCTGTTACAAAAAACCAACAAGTTTAGATGAAGAGATTCCCCCCTCCCGCTCTTACTGCAGTTTTAAAGATGAAAGCAGATGGGGTTTTTCCCTTGAGATATTTTCAGCAAAGTACAGTTGGCTTTTGTATAGCGTCATTCACCTGAGAGTATCACAAAGCACTCTGGAACAGATCATAAACTGTGCATGCAAATACATGTAAAATATGTAGTTATATAATATGCTGTAACCAGACACTTTTACTTACCAACACTTAACCGCATTAGTACATCCATTCCAAAGAAGCCACATGGATAATTTATGTGGCAAGACCATGACAACCATGCACACAATGCCTAATCTGCCTTTTGAGCTTGATCACAATTTCAGAAAGGAGACAGGGAGAAACCCAACACCTTCAACTTAAAACCATTTATATTTTGTGTTTAATTGTACCAGGCTTATTGTTTCTTCTGTTTCTACGCTAAATATTGCAAAATTTATGCCTAGTTCTCTGAAATATTACACATGGAATGGGATGTTTTTTCCTCTTTTTTCTTTCAGTGTTACATATTTTCTTTTTATTTTCATCAGTACTGCTTAACTCTAGGTGACATTTGGCTCCAACAAAGCAGGATGTCATGTTGTGTACAAACAAATCTTGTGGTTCTAACATTAAACATAAAAAAATCCATACTGGCTGAAAGATATATCAAAAAATAATATGTTCTCTTCCCCTTACATATCAGGTCTATAAATAATTATAAAGGTTCCCATCCACTTCAGTCTTTAAATGGCATGAAGAATAACAGAGTAACTGATTTGGAAAGGACACTGGAGGTCTTCTAGTCCAACCCCCTGCTCAGGCAGGAAACCTTATACCATTTCAGACAAATAGTTGTCCAATCACTTCTTAAAAACCTCCAGTGTTGGAGTACCCACAACTTCTGGAGGCAAGTTGTTCCACTGATTAGAGCTTTACCTCAAAACAGAGTGAGACAAAGACCCAAAATGAGCATGGTCATTGACAAAGTCTAAAATACAATATGAAAAATAAAATTAAAGCAAAGTAAAGAGCTTATTTACTTGAGATTTACTTCAACAAATAAAGTATAGATTATTTAGATTTAAACATAATATTGAATTAGAATTGTAGTGATGATTCAGCTGGCAAAGTTAGCACAGGAAGGGGAATGATTTGATGAGAGAGAAGTTAAAAGGGCATTGTGATCCCCCACCTGGGACCTGGCAAGGTTGCTGGGGATCCATGAAATTAGAATTTGTCAATCTGAGAATCATTCTTCTGGCAACATGATAGTGTGAAATATGGAAATGCAGGGCCAGAATTAAAGAGGGGATATCAGGAAAACAGAGAAGAAGCAATAACACAAATTACAGAGCCAGGAATATAATACAGAGTTAACACTGTAATATATTCACTTTATTTTCAATCTTAAGACTTAAACAGTATTACTTCATGCAGACAAAAGAGAAAATATTAGATTATTTCAATAACTCTAACATTTCCAGAAGAAAAAAAGCCTACGCTGCAGCTTGTTCACTTTGCACAGATTGCAAAGGTAACTAAACTAAGCAATAATTATAAAATAAAGTTTCTATTTGTCTGAGAATTATAATTTTTACCAGATGCATCCAAAATTTTCTTAATTTTTATTCAGTTCGATAATAAAAACCATTTGACAAACAAAGCCAAATTAATATCTGTTTTTGGACAGTATACACCATCTAAGGTACAATTGTATTGAAAGATTGCTAACTATAAAGCATTACATTTAACAATTTTGTTAAAGAAATACCTCTTAATAAATTGCAAGACCAGACAAAACTACAAATTTGTCTCACATGTGCGGGAAGATGAGAAAATCCAGTATTGCCTAAAGGTAAAGTATGGATTCTGCACATCTATGTAGAGGAAAACATTTGTATGGAGAAATTAATTTCATTTCTTAAGGGAAAAGAAAGAAGAGATTGCAGCCAGAATAAGAATTTGCAATGCTTGACTCAAAATACAGCCAAAAAGATGTTAAGTAAAATAACTAGGAATCAAAGCAGCTTGTTTTCTTTCTAGTGCTAATCTATAATATGGTGATTGCTCTTGGCTTGGAGCAAAATGCTGAACCCATACAATTGTGGCTTTATCAACATGTTGTTTCAATTAGCTTGTGGCATATGAAGATGTATGAACGCGGTCAATAAGTTGCTGCAAGAAATTTGTGGACTGCAATTCTTTTCCATGGACAGCTTTTGTGTGCAAAAATTTCATTCCTAAGCTTACATTTCCTCAAGGACTTCTTACTATCACATGAATCTTCTACCTGTTAAGTTCTTAATTAAGGACCTCTCTGGATATTTGTTTACTAAAATGTCATCTACTCTTGTCACCTACTCTTCCTGTTCTACACAGTTTACAGCATATGGGATAAATCATTAATACAATAAGAAAATCCACCCATAAAACCAAGAAGTAATAAACAAAGCAATTAAAAACTAATTTAAAAATCCTGCAGTTGCCATTTTTTTAAGTCTGAACTCTCTCTTAAAGACTGTTTTCTAGTCTTCTATCATTTGTTAGGTGCATACCTAACTTTGGGGCAAGCTATCTGAGAAGGAGGATTTACTATGAGAAAATCTACCTTGATTCCCAGCCCTCCCCTCCCCCTCCCCCCCCCCGATTTCTTTCAGGATGGGTACCCAGGATAATTGATAGTATAAGTCAGGCAGATTCTACATGAAGTAGATGATTCTGAAGATAACAAGGGGCCAAACTGTAGTATGCCTTTCCTTCACTGAAGGCAAAGAGTATCTAAAATGCAGGATTATTTTCATGGCTATTTCTACCCTCTTTCCAGCTTGCACCCGAATTTGAAATAAAACTTTCAGCACTGATTTACAGTAAACTGGGGAACAAGAGTAAAAAGTCTTAATGTTGATAAATAACAATAAATAATATTGACAGATATTCTAATAGGATTAATAATGTTTCAATTACCTGGTGTATCAGGCCAGAATCTGACGTTAGGCTTGTAATGTTAATGGATGAAATTTCCAAAGTAACTTTTTCTGTTTGGTATTCTTCATCTACAAGGCAAATATTCTGCAATGTTAGTCAAGTTCAGACCTCTTGATCAAAGTATTTCCAAAAAGATTCTGTAATTCCGAAAGGTTATGGTGCCAATTCAAGTAATGTATCATGGCAAGAGAGAAAGCTGTAATACAGGCATACTGTTCCATTCATAAAATTTAGCATAAACACTGATGACTTGATTAAAGTTTTACATATCTAAGATTGCAGAAGGAACTAACCTGTGGGCACATTATCAAATAGGCTTACAGAAAGGATGTAATGAATGAAAGCCTGTGTATATACAGAGTAAGTGAGGAATTGCTAGTCTCTATTATGTTAATCTTCTTTTCTCTGAAATAAAATACCATATATCCCTCTTCCAACCATTCCACATGTCACACTTGCCTGCCAATCACCAATCAATTACATTAAAATCATCATTTTACAAACTGGATCCCATATGAATTGCAATAATTATTAATGATAACATTTATCTGAAATATCATGTAACATTTCACTGGCTCATTTCTGAATATCCAGTTATCATTAATAAGTACAAGAACAAAGCCAGATCTTTTAAATTGCCTGGGTGTGTCCGTATACAACAGTAACTTTCATAAAATCCAGAATAGTTTCAGGTCTAAGTATAGCAGAAAGAGAAGAGAAAGAGGGGAAAGAAGACAAAAACGAAATTGCTGCTGATAAAGATCAATCTTCCTCAAATTTGCCTCAATTGGAATTTACTCCAAGAAATTGTCATGCTGTCTGAGTAATTTTGGGAGCTTTAAGTCCAAACATCTGGAAATGCCCAGATCAGGAAAGTTAATATAGATCTCCAATGTTTGATTGTAACTTCCTGAATTTTCAGTCTGCATATCTACATGATACTACTAAGAGAAGAGTTAGATTTTCTTTTTCATAGTAATGATCTTAAGTCTACCTTCTAGTACATGTATTTCATTCCAGGTAATTCAGTAAATATAAATTACAATAGCAATAATTACAAAAACAAAATATTTAAAAACCTTAGAGAATACTGCTTTACCAGAATAAACATTCATATTTTCATTTGTCATTTCATGACAATGGAAATTCTTCAGAATAATTATCTCTCTTTAAGTGATTCCTCCCTTGCTGTTCTTTATAACTAATTGGTTATTTATGATTGATTTTGGATACCATCCTTCTTTTTAAAGTAAAATGGGTTAAATTAGTTAGGATCAGATCTAAAATATTATGACTAGATTTTGTGCTATGCGCCTGGATAGAAAGTAGTTCTACACTTTATGAAGAGACTGATTATGTTCCTTCTGCCTTTATTGCTTCACACTGTGTTGATTTCTGCTTTGGTAGGGTCTCCTAGCCTCCTGTAGACACTTTGGGTATCAGAATGAAATAAGAAAACAGATGATCCATATGCAATCCTTTGGCTCCCAACTAATTCTTGATTCCCAAATATTTGTCTGTGCTGGATGTCAGGGAAAATACATGTTGTTGTTGCTTACCCATTGCTTTCTTGTAAGTGTGTTTTAAGTGTTCATGTACGCCTTAAATGGCAAATATGAATGGACTCAGAACAGAATCCTCCAGAAGTGTAGATAACTACTTTGGGCGGGAAGTATGCCATCAGTGTTCCTATATATTCCCTCAATTTCAGTAGTTAGCCATATAAAATTAATAGAAACTTAGTACCTTAAGTAGTTCCCTACGGGTGAAAGAATTGCACGAATGTATATGCATTCATAGCTTGCAAAAAAATCACCAAAAGGCCCAACCTCTGAAATAAAGCAAAAGTTTGGGATACATGGCCCTGAAAGATGAACCAAGTTTAAATCACAGGTAGCAAGTTACTAATGTGGGTTATTTGCAGATAACTACTGCCATATGCTTAGGATAGATTCATGAGGCAAAAAAATAGTATTCAATGGAGAATTCCATGTACTGCAAAGCATAAGAATTCACCTGATGGAGATGTAAAAGAATATATTTTACTTCTGAAAGAAATAGAGGTAAAACTTTCACAAACCGACTTTGTAAAATGTCTTAGCCCTGATAAACAACTTTAACTGTAGAGATCCAAGGCAGGTTAACCCCCTTTATCTTTCTTCTCAACCAAGAAATGTCAGGAACCTTATAATTGCTCCTTTGAGTATGAATTCCTGAAATTCCAAGCACCACACAGAGAAAATGAGGAATAAGTGAATTATTCCCATTTGTAGTTGAGTGTTGAACTCAGTGGTATAGTATACAGTATGTCCTATGATCATACACAGAAATTCATAGGACTGTAATGTTTTCCTAAATTGACAAATGTATACAGTAGTAAACATCACAGATGTTTAGGAGAAAGAACATTATTTACAAAAATTGTTTGATTGTCAACTTGGCACATTTTAGATTTTGGCCAATATCATCTCTGTGGTCTGGTTGTCTCTTATATAAGGTGTACAATATGAGAGCTTTCAAGAGGAGCAAGGCCTGGATTAAGGATGATCCTTTTGAGCATGGACTGAAATTACATTAATCTTGCTGCTGCTGCTGTTATCCATCTATCCATTGATGAGACCCTCCCATCAAAGAGAAGGTTTTCAAGTACAATTCATAATGTCCCGAGAAATTCTTCATGAAAAAGACTAACAGACTTCAGCAAGCCAAGTACAAGGAAGAGAGCCATTAACTGTCTTGCTGCTGGCTTGGTATTTCATAGTATTGACCTGCCATTTGGAGAGAATATAATCTTCAGAAGAAAATAATTCTGATGCCCTTTGTTTATCCTGTGGGAGATGACAGAACAGTAAGGCTATTGTCTTTTATAGGAAACATTGATGTTAGTTAGATAAGCCTAATGGATGTAGAGCCAAAAAAACAAGGCTGCTGTGAAATAGGTACTGTGTTCTCTATATCAGATTTCTTTCCCTTGTGGTCCACAAGTATTTTTCTTGACTTGGACTGAAATGGTTTATAGTTAACTACTTAAATAAAATGTGTAGTTCCCATCAGTTTTCTATATTGTACAACATCAATGGAACAGAAATTAACCAATGCCATGTACCGTTTGTAGATCAAAAATAGAATTGGCAAGACAGGTATAATAAGTCAGCATCCAGAGTAATCTGGAATCAGGCTTTTAAAAAATGTTTGAAGTAAATAAACCAGGATTCCAAGCATCTGCAAGCATCAAATGGAATGTTAGATCATCCATACCCTTTGAGTGAATAATCCCCATATCTAATTACTTGGATAACTGCAACAAAATGAAATTTGCTTTCTAACATCAATGCAATGTACTAATTGCCTACATTCAGGTGCACTGTGATTAAGGTTGCTTGTTCTGAGGGGGGAGAGAATGAGATGGAATGTCGATAATGAACTTCAAACAAACTTGTCTCACCAACTCCATGAAGTGGTATCAGAACTGGAAGATGGGCCCAGATAGAAAGCTATCATACCTCAGCTGGTATGTTGCAAGAAAGAAGTTTGATGGTCCAGGATGCATGGCTTGATTAAACATTATATTAAACAAAGGTAATGGTGTTGCCTGTAAATAAAACTGCTGAATCTCCTATAGAAAAAGTGATCCAGATGACTTTAATAGCATGAGGAAATGGAAACAATTATCACAAATTATGTTGTACCATATGAAATAAGATATGCATTTTGACAACATAGACAGAGAACATCTATCATCACCAGAGATTTTATGATTAGGAAAGTTTACAAATATATTAAATTAATAAAAACATTGACTGTGGCACTGATTGACTCAATCCAGAGAATATGAGAACAGAAGCTCCTACAGGTAAGAGAAGCAGAAGAAATCTGATCTTAGTTCTGAGAAGTAGCATGGGTCAGTGAAATTGGGTCCTTCAAGGTACATAGTCGATTATCTCCCGAAGTCATCCAGTCATCTTTTATATCTAAGGCAGGACTAGAATTCACAATCTCCTAGTTTCTAGACTAGTGCCTTAACTTTTAGACCAAACTATATCTCCAGTGATGGAATTGAGCTACTAAAGTGAAAATGAATCAGGGAGAGAAAACCGTAAGATATTTTCTTAGTTGGTGGCTTCTCGACCTTAGAAGATTTTGAAGGTCTCAGAGCTAAGAAAAGCTGGGAATTTCAGCAATTATATCTGGAATCAGTTCTAGAAAATTATGAAGTCTATGAAGGGACATAATAGTTTCACTATTGTGGCATACCTAATCAAGTTGTATATTACAATAGTTTAAAAAAAAAATAAGAACAGTCATTGGAGTTGTCTATTTTTACCTTTGGGTAATGCTGTATCTTGAACAGGATATTTTTCTATCTGTTCAGACAAAAAAAAAGAAACATATTTATACAATTATTTTAGATACATTTTGACACACCAATTATGTTGACCTGTTAAATTCTTTATTCTGCTGAATTTGTAACCTTTCGAGCCAAATGCAGTCCCCTAGCTGTTTATTGAGCTTGCCAAGTATTCAACAATTCACAGTATTTCTCCAGTTCCAAGCAGGAATAAGGAATCAATGGAGATTTATCAAGCCCCTTAAATGAAAGTTTAGCAGAAATTATGAAACACTTGGGATGGGTCTGCCGGTAAAGATGGCAATCTCGAACCAAATCCTCCTTCGATAATTTCATTCAGAAATCTTTCACGGAATGGTTTCCAACACTTTCATCCTTATAACATTTTGAAGTAAATGCTTTTAAAGGAAATAACCCTTAAGGACCAACTTCATTAAGGATTCATGACACTGGTGGAAATGAAACCACTACAGGGGTTCTCAAACAAATCTTGGATAATGACTACAACTGCATCTCTCGCTACTGAATTTTCTGTTACAACTCTCTCTTTTTTATCCACACAAACCAATAGAAGCTATAGAGAAAGGGAATTCATTTGTCCACCTCTGAATCAACAGAACATTCTAAATATGAATCACTGATTCATTATGGTCATTTTTCTTCTTGATTACAGAGATTAATTTATACTAACAGCTTTGTTTCTAATTGTTACCATTTCAAGTAGTTTCATCAAAAATAGCTGGTTGTTGCATAAAAGAAGAATATATTAGCATCACTCATTCTTTATAGAGACATATGTTTCTGGATAAAATAGGCATTAACTTCTCATTACAACACTTTCTAATTATTAACAAAAAAGGCAGAATTCTATAGTTTTTAGAACCCTGAAACTCAGAAATAACTTAACTAAATATTTTCTCCCATAGCACTCTATGCTGTAGAGAGATGCTATTTGTGTGGCAAGCTAATCAATTATTTAGGAAGATCACAAAGGAAATGATGTCATGTCCCTAGACTTATTTCAGAGCCTGTATCTTGTCACATCTTAACTTGTCTGTGAGTATGAAATACTGTGTACAATAATACCATAGCAACGAACAAGTAAAATAAGTAAATTAAGGGCCTAGTAAAAGTAATATTTTCTTTGAATCATTCTCAGCTTCTGATAGCTTCATGGACATATCCATGTAGTTTTCTTTGCAACATAAAAAATGTTGCCAATGCCTTCTAGTAAGATGTTTGTTCAGCTTCCCATTGTAGTCCACAATTCTTGCATTTTCTGGTAACCCTCATCCAAATGTTAACCAGCTCCCACTCTGCTTAGCTGGGCAACTAACCACTTCAACAAAAGTGGTACTTACATTTTCTGAGGATAAAGTGCTAGGGTCAGTGTCTTCTACTGGTTCTTTAGTTGCTTGATCTGCTGGAAACAAACCAAAAAGAGACTTACGTTTACACTCATCAACATTTTAGAGATATTTATTTATCTGTACTTTAATTGCTTAATAATTACACATCAGTCTGCTGCAAACCACACAACAGGGGTTCACATCCTGGTTTATCCTAATTGGGTAAAAAATTCTAAAGGAAATGGCTAGCTCTTGTATGTTCTTACATGTAGGTTCATGACAGATGGTCACATGTCAGTTCAAATATAACAACCTTGCTCAATAAATAATAGTCTAGAAGCCATATTAAATAAAAAACAGGAAATATTTTTATTATAGTTTTTTTATTTCACAAATGGTTTTAATTTACTTTAACCTTTTAAACCATTTGAATATATAAAGATCAGCATAAAACATCTTGAAACCATTAAGTTGTTTATTCACTTTTCAGTTATACTATGTATTTCAGTTTTCAACAAGTTCTATAAAGAGGGAGCCAGCTATCCTATACTAAACACTGGATTTTCCTTCTAAAAAAGTGGAAATTATAATACCTTCTTTTCTCAGTTTAAAGCTTTTATACTCAAAACTCTCCTGGAAACTGGTAGCATTTTTTTTCCTGCTGAAGGATATAAAGTTGAATTACAGCATAAGGCAATTTTTTATAACAATTTTGCTTCACTTCAGAGGGATGCTGCAGGGCTTAATTTATTTAGCACTTGAGTGAATGATTCATCAGACTTTGAGAAGCGCTCCAAAAGGACTTAAAAAAAAACAAAACGACAGCTCAAAGTCATTCTCAATACAAAGCCCAAAATACGAAGAAGGGGAACATTGAGACTCTTTCAAAATCGAATTCGGGCGCCTCTGTCACGACTGTACGCTGTGGTTAATTTCGAGGATGTGAGCTTCAAGTCGCACAAGGCAGGGAACAAAGACTTTCCTCTAAGAAGAACGCTGCCTTTGCCAAAAACATTAGGAGCAATGCAAATATTAATTCATACTAATAACAGCCCCAACGACAGACGGAGAGCTACTCGCCTTTGGCAGAATCCCGCCAACGAAGAACAGCTCGGCAGAGCCTATGGGAGGATCAGTGTCCACCCAGGGAATCCGCCCGCCCCCCTCCCCCCGCACTGCAAAGGCCACTCTAGGGTCCCGCCTCCCTTGCTCTGCCCGGCCCTCTTTCCGGTGCCCTCGGTCCCCGTCCGCAGAGGCGCGCAAGCCCACCGCTCTCGTTCCTCTGCGCCGAGGCGCGCGCGCCCGTTGCCGAAGAGTTAGGCAAGGCGGGTTTTACCTTCGGGCAGAGCGTTGGCGGGAGAAGCCATTGGGGGCGAGGAGGTCGGCCAAGCCGCGGCGAGCTGGAGGGCTTTGGCACCTGCGATCGGCCCGCCGTTTCCCTGCCCCTTCTACTTCCTAGGTAGTTATCGCTGGACGCTTCTGCGCTTCCCCCTCCTGTAGGACGAGAGGAACCTTGGAAGGGAGCGGAAGCTGCAGGTAAAGCCCGAACTAGCAGGGGAAGAAGCCTGTGCGGGGCGGGGGAGATACGCTTTCCCCACCCCCCAAAGCCACGGGCGTTCTGCCTAAGCGTGTGTTCTTGCAAGCTTTCCCTACCTCGATCGGCGACTTCTCAAAAAAACCGTGTGGCACCTGGAAAATGCATTATATAGCATCCTTTTTCCTAGGCAAAGGGAGGGGTATGTTAATTGACTTATAGATTCTCCACTTGGATGAGTAAAATTCAGGGTTAGAAACAGCCATGGAAAAAGTACAGGGAGTCCTCGACTTATAACAATTCATTTATCGACCTTTCGAAGTTACAGCGGCACTGAGAAAAGTGACTTATGACCATTTTTCGCACTTATGACTGATGCAGCATCCTCACAGTCACGTGACTTACATTCAGATCTTGACAACTGATTCATATTTATGACGGTTGCAGTGTTGCGACCTTCAGACAAGCAAAGTCAGTGGGGGAAGCTTAACTGTTGTTATAATTTAAGAACAGTGATTCATTTAACAAATGTGAGAAAAGTCGTAAAATGGGGCATAACTCATTTAACAAATTTCTCACTTAGCAACATAAATTTTGAGTTCAATTGTGGTCGTAAGTTGAGGATTACCTGTATATGAAGTGTCATCATTATTAACTTTTACACTGAATAATGTTATAAAGTGTTTTTGCTTAGCCTGCAGCCCAAAATATATCTGTGACTAAGATCTCATTGACCTGGCTGAGTTGAGTTCTCAGTAAGCATAGGACTGTGTTATAAGAAATATAAGAACCTTCCAAAAATAGACTTTTTGAGAGCATACTTAGAGCTTGCGATTGAAATACCTGCCTACAGGGCTTGTAATTTTAAATATTTCTGCTTACACAGGTTTTTCCCAAAAGTATTTCATAGCTTTCTCACAACAGTTTTCTCAAAACATTGACTTCCTATAGATGATTAATAATTCTAAAATTATTTTATCAGAATCAAATAAAATATGTATTAAATTGTGCGATCAAATGGTCATTATTGCGAGCCTAATAATTTGCAGCCATAAGGCCTTTCTGAACTGAAATGCTGTCCTCTCATCCTTGAGTTGGAAAAAGCTCTCTCAGCATGAATTTGATATCTCCATTGCTAGACAATTTGCAGATATTTCACTGCAAACCTCTGGTTTCCTTCAAGTTAAAAGCTGACACAGTCTTTTATACAATATATACATCTTGAGGCTAAACTTGATACAGGGAAAAATGTCATTTCAGTACTGCTTCAGCTAAGGACTTAAGGCTGTCTAGTTACGTGGGGCCATTATGAAAATGTCATGAGAACATAGCTGAAAAAAGATGTTTCCAGTGAATTGTTTATGCCATGATTATGTGCAAGTGGAGAAAGACCCTCCAATTCTTTCTGAAACTTGCTTCTCAAGGTTATCACATTGTGCTAGTAACATTTTCAAGGTCTTGTCCGGTAAAAAAAACTTCAGTCTTTGTTCTCCAACCAGGATTTAAAGTAGGTTGCATGCTGAAACATACCTGGGATAGTGTAATCAGAAGACCAAAAGTAAAATGTGATGCATTATTTCATATAAGTTTACATACTTATTAAGATTAATTCATATCTTCATTTCCCAAGAAACCCAGGCAAGGATTTTTTAAAAAATATTAAAAGTTAATATCTGGAAAGCTTTTCTGTAATAAATTTTCAATAACTGGAACACTTTCTATTTCCTATTGCCTTCAACCATCTTCAGTGGCAGCTACCACATTGTGGAGCAGGTGACCATCCCCTCCATCCCATGATCCTCAACATCTCTCTGGGTGAAAGCACAGGATGGAATAATTGATTTCTTGACTGATTGTGGAAAAGTTGGTCCTGAAGCCATGTAGGCTTTTACAGGTTAATATTGCCATTTAAATTTGATCTGGAAACCTAATGATACCCAATATTGCTACCATAGCATTGTAGTTACACTGGTAAACCTACTCATCCCCATTAGCAACTAAGCTGATGCATATTGGGCTAGTTTTAATTCTCATTGTCTTCAAAAGCAGAGTGTATTGTAATAGCCTAATTGCGTGCTGAAGACATTATCAATTATTGGCATAAGCATATCTAAGGCAGAAAAACTTACAGCTGCCACACCAATTATTCCTTCAGGACACTAAGCATAGTATCCTTCTTTCTTCAGTATGCAGCCATTTGTCTTGGTTGGTAACCCAACCCCAATCCTGATTTCTCCATTAGACATGTCCCAGATGAGTGTGCATAGGATTGCAACCTAAATGAACTTGTTTGAAAAACATTTGTGGCAATTGTTATTACACAATGTAGTCTTCATGAGATAATTGTTTCTGCTCCTGCTTTCTCTATTCAATGAATACTAAGCCAAAGGAACCAGTAAGTTATGGATTTGTTTATTATAAATGCCATGCCTTTCATCTTTTTTGATAACAGTTGTAAATGGAAATGTTTTAAATCATTTCTGTATTTTATCCACTTTCTAAATCATGAAGATGCTCATTGATCTTTATAATTTTTTGAAGGGAGTCATGTTGTTTCCCCATTCAATTCATTTACAGTGGTAACCTGAGCGTCTGAGCATTGGAAAACAATAATAATATAAAATCTCTGAAAGTTAAGAAACCTTATTAATACCAGTTCCCACTTTTCATTGTGGTTTGGAAATATCATTTTTCCATCTGCAAAATTATATGATCTGTCCAGGACAGGAATTTGTTTCTAGATCAGGGGTTCCCAACCCCCATTCCATGGACCAGCACTGATCCGCAGCATGCCAGAAACCAGGCCGCACAAACATGCAAAGACCCATCCACAGCACACAAACCATGCTTTCTCCAGTCCACGGAAAAAACTCTCACCATGGAACCAGTCCCTGGACCCCAAAAGGTTGGGGCCAATGCTCTAGATTACTATGGAGCAGCAATCCTATATATATTTTCTGGAGAATACACAGCTCATTGAATACAGACAGTTTTTTAATAAATAGTAAATGGCTGTGTCTATAGTCTCCGGAATCTTAAAGGTGAATTATAAAATCAGAAAAAGTTATAGATCTGATTTAGAATTTTGAAATAAAGTGAGAGGGAAACATAAATAATACCACTATTTTCAGTACAAATTATGCTTAGATTTTCACTGTATAATGCCAAGCCCTCTGTATCAGCAAATAAGAGAGTGCTTTCTAATGATTCTCAATCCAATAAAACTGGCACATGTATAAAATTGTAGTTTTGGGCTTAAAAATAAAAATGCCTTTTAAGATTTATTCTTTCAAATTAATTTTTAAAAATAAAATTAAGGATTCTTTGTAATTAGCCATGATTAGAAGAGTAAGATACAGTATTCTAAATAGTCTGTCAGATTCGAAGAAGACACACTATTATGCAATTCATCATTAGACACAGAGGTAGCTCTGCAGTCCCAGTCTGGTAGTACAGAATCTAATACAATGGGGGCACTGAAATCCATTCTTGTAGTAGTTGTGGGTGTTATTCTCTGATGCTGCTCACAGTTTTCTATTAGTTTTTGGGGGAGCCTGGTGGACACTTCATGGTGCAGGGGTTGCCAATGTGTTCTGTCTGGAACTGCAGCTTCTAGATAAGATAACCTTTATTGTCATTTTTTTACTGTGGGCACAACGGCACATATCAAAAATGAAATTTAGTTGCCTACTCTCAAAGTGAAACACATACATGACACACACCTAAACATACTATGTACAACATATGTATAGACCCACACCCCTACATATACATAGCAAATAAATATTAAGTACTGTCCATCTTGAATATATAACGGAAGGAGGAAGCCTGAGAGTTCACGAGGTTAATGCTGTATGGAATGAAACTATGGCTGAATCTGGATGTTCTGCTACGAATACCATGAAGTTCACTTGGCTGGATGTTAAAGTGGCAAATGGGTTACTTTTAAAGCGTTTATGACTATGTAAAGTTTGCATGGTCAGCCTGGAGGTATCTTCCCAGACTCCATGTCATGGTTCTGATGCTAAGACCAATTAAATCAGAATTCCGAGGCTAGAGGTTTCCTCAAAGAACATGTTAATTGGTTACAAAATATCGGCAAGGTCAAAAGTGAAACCAAGTCTGAAATTCCCTCCAAAGAGTTACACTATTATAAAGGCAAACTTCCCATCCCAGTGCTATGCATTCGGCTACGTTCTTCAATAGAATAATTTGGCAGACTTTCGAACAAAACGCCCAACCCTCTAAGCTAACTGATAAAATGACCTTGGCTCCCATGGGACACAGAATTGTTTAAACTAGCAAAAATACTCTGCATCCCCTCCCTTTCATGTGGCAACCTAGAACGAGAAAGATGGCTGCAGCCAGGTTCGTTGCAGAGTTGACACTCCAATGCACTATAAGAGCTGAAGATGTTATCTAGCCTGATAACAAAACATTCGGAAACCAACCCTCAGGCTTGGAGAATGAACCTTCACCCTCAGCAACTGGTGAGGCATACAGTGGTCATCCATTCTGATGACATGTCCCAGCCATCTCACCTAAGTTCTGATAATCAAGCACTCAATGCTGGTGGACTTCATATGATCCAAATTCTCCAGTTTGGAACACAGTCTTGCCAACAAATGCTGAGGATGGAGCAGAGAATGCAATCCAATTGATTGATGTGCCTTTGATACAAAGTCCAGCAATCATATTCCTATAGGAGAGGAGGGATAACCATAGCTCTGTACACTTTTAGCTTTATGGCAGCGGTTCTCAACCTGTGGGTCGCGACCCCATTTGGGGTCGAACGACCATTTTATGGGGGTCGCCAAACAATGCGATCCGCCATTTTTTTCCTCGGGGGGCGCCGCCGCCCATGCGCACTGCACATGGGGGTGGCGCCACGCATGGGGTGGCGCCGTGCATGGGGCGGTGCATGGGGGCGCCGCCGCACATGGCAGCATCGCGCATGCGCAGCGCAGCACGCATGCGCGGCACGTCCTTATGACCG